GAGGTTGCAGTGAGCCCAGATCACACCACTGCACTCCACTGGGCAACAGAGCAAGACTCCGTCTCAAAAAGAAAAAAAAAAAATTCTCACGGCTGTTTTAGGTTCTTCGCTAGACCATACAAGGAGTTCCTGATACGAGGTCTATAACCTACAATCTATAATTCTATAATCTATAACCTATGTCTTCCTCTGCCAGATAAATGCACCTGCCTGAAATGAGACCACAAAAGCGAAGAACAGAGAAGACAACCTCAATTAATTATATCATTTGAGCACTTAGGTCCAGCCATGTCTATTTCTCGACCTTTCAAAATCATGGGGGTTAGTGGGGAGAAGCTTTTCCTTCCTTTAAGCTAACCTGAGTTAGGGTTGTCACTTGTAAGCAAGAGTCACTTGAGAGAGCCACCCAATTCCCACTGTCGGAATATAAAATCTAAAATCTATACAGCAATGACTCCCAAATGCCTACCTCCAGCGCAAACCTCTGTCAAACCCCAGACCCATATAGACAACTGCCAAGTGGAAATCCCTACTTGGCTGTTTCAGATACCTCGAACTCCATGTGATCCAACCAATACTATCTTCTTCCACAAACCAGCTCTCCCTCCATTTTTCGTATCAGTCACCCACATCTACCCTGCTTTCCAAGCTAGAAATCCAGGAGTTGTTCTTGCCAATCCCATTCCTTCTCTCATCCATAGCTAGTTACTACCTCCTGTCCATTCCAGGCCCTAATTATCTGCCACCATCTTAACCCATTTATGCCTGAGGTTGCAATTTTTTGAATTTTTGCAATCGGACCTTGGCGATGACCTTGAGCAGGATATAAATAGAACTCCCACATGCTTAGCGTTCCAACAATGGAACACTAGGCATAAATGGGTTTAATCTGGGCCAGGCCAGAAAGACCTTCCCACAAGTTTGAACATCTTCAGTCTTCCTCTCTTCAAAATGATTTTCCAACATGTAACTAATCTCCCTAACTGCAAAAGTGATTATAATATATTATCCCTATATCTTAGCATACTCCTGTCCTCCTTCATAAGTCAACAACCAACTATAAACAGCTGGATCAAGAGCCAAGCTCCACTGTTCCAGACTTTAGCGGTATAACAAATCTGTGCCATAAGGAAGGCTCATCAGAAATATAAAACTATAAAAGAACAACAAAGTCTACAACAACAGCGTAAATAAAAGATACTCGAAGATAATTTACTCATCTATTCAATGTCTACTCATTAGTTATATATTAAACTGCCCATATGAACTGGCTTAGGGACCACAGGGCCTACTCTGAGATGGAGTCTTCTGATCATCTGATCTCCCTATGCCCCTAACTAGTGTTCTTCTCAAAAAACACTACTGGGCATTTCCAGGCACATCCAAGAGCTTTGATTAGGGAAAGAAACCCTATTCATCAATTCTAAGATGCATCCATTTTTCATATTTTAGCACCTCTGGAATTGGAGTGCACCTTACAATCAATGGCTTCTTACAACTAGAAGCATATTTTAAAAGGTCTGTAACATTACAGTGTATCTTACAATCGACATAACTCAATGCAACTCAACATTTAATCCTGTGTTAAAAAGTTGGTCCAACCTGGTCAATATGAACCTTGTGATGTTAAAAAGACATCCTAAAGCCTAAAACATGGTTCGCCGTTCCTAAGATCCAACAGTCAGATCGGGACAGTTCAACAGCTACTGCTAGGCTAGACAAAAAAAATATTTGTATAAAAATTGTTATAAAGGTCAGGCATGGTGCCTCACCTGTGTAATCCTAGCACTTTGGGAGGCTGAGGCAAGTGGATCAACTGAGGTCAGGAGTTTAAGACCAGCCTGAACAACATGGCAAAACCCCACCTCTACCAAAAATACAAAAATTAGCCAGGCGTGGTCCCAGTTACCTGGAAGGCTGAGGCAGGAGAATCCCTTGATCTCAGGAGGCAGAGGTTGCAGTGAGCTGAGATCGCGCCATTGCACTCCAGCCCAGGCGACAGTGCAAGACTCCGTCTTGAGGGAGGGAGGGAGGATTGTTTTTTTAAAAAAAAAAAAAAAAAAACACCGGTAAACCAAGCAAATACCATAAAAAATATTTCGTTTAATGGAAGACCTTGGAAACTTCTGAGTGGCAAAGTGGTAAGAACTGGGCTTACAGATTACTTTAGGCAGAAATGCATAAGATTAGACAAAGGAGAAAAGTGAAGGCAAGAAAATCATAACATTATAGTCCAGGTGGGATGAGAACTTGATTCAGAGTTAGGGGGTGGGGGTGGAGTCGCAGGGTGGTGGGAGGAGAACTATGTGAAAGCCAAATAACACTAGATTTGAAAATAAATAAATTCCTGAAAAAAAGTGAAACATTAAAATTCATAGGAGAAACAGAAAATCAACACAAACCAACAGCTATTAAAGAAATTGAAGTGTTATTCAAAGTCCTCTCCAGAAAAAAAGATCTAGGCCTAAATGGTCATATAGGTGAGGTCTTCTAAACATTCAAGGAACAGATAATCCCAGTCCAAAATTACCCTGAAAAAGAGAAAACGAAAGTTGCCCAACTCATTTTATGATTTGACTACTACCTTGACACCAATATGAATTCAGAACTGTCCCACAGTTAGCAAGAATAGAGGGAAAGAGTTATAATATCATAAAGCAGAATCAACAGATGTTGGCTACAGACAAGATATAATGAAATGGGAAAAGGTTTGGGTTTGGTATGACATCAACAGAAATAAAGAACACCAAAGCAGCAAGTTCGCTAAGGAAAAGAAACTCAGAACAATCAGGTACAGATACGCATAAAGCAACTGGGAAAAAAAAAACCGGATTCAGAAGACAAATAAAGAACAAAGAATTCAGAATTATTCCAACAGAAAGGTCTGAACAATCATTCTAAGGGACTAGAGACATAGAGAAAAGTGATCTAAAAAGTGAAACTTGGAGAACGCATATTAAAGAGGAAAGGAGGAACAGATTAGGCAGAAAAGTGGCGGAGAGGAACAAAGTCAGTATAATGTCACAGAAGGCCCCTCTTCATCTAGTTAATAGTTAACTCTTGCTCATCCTTCACAATCTGCCTGGGTTCCAACAAAGCATTTTTAAGGAATCTTTCCCAGATTCTCCCACCACCACAAGCACCAGGTCAGGTCTCCATTTGAAGTTCTTATAATATTCTGCACCTTAATTAAAATCACAATTATATTTAACTAGAGACTTTATTTTTCAATATGTATTTCCCCACTAGACTTGAAGCTCCATGAGGGAAGGATCTGTTGTATCTTACTGCCTTGCACCCTGTGTTAGAATATAGCGCGTATTTGTTAAATGAAATGTATAGATGAATGAAAGCCAAGGAAAGGCATCTGAAAAATGTGAAGTCGATGTTAAATATTACAGAAAGCTCAAGGAGAGGACTTAGAAAAAGCTGGTTAAATGTGTTGATTAGGTTCCTTGTGAAGGTGAAATCCAGATAACAAGGGGTTAAGAAATGAGTGGCTAGCCACCAACCAGGCAGAGTCAGGAAAAGTAGACTACTCTTGGCAATCTCTAGAGATGGATTGTGAATGATTAAATTTTAATTTCAATGTTGCGCTAGTTCTCAGTTCTTTAACAACCATGTGTTACTTTTATTACGAATAAGCTTTTTAAAATGTTAATAAGATTTGAAAAGGAAAAGCAGCAACAAGACAGCTTGAAGGAGTAGCAGACTTGAGGTTTTTGTAAATTGAAGAAATCTTAAGAACATTTGTACTTTAAAGAACCCAAATACAACAGAGAAAATAACTCACACTCCACTAAGTAGGAAAGTTAGAAGGAAAAAAAAAAAAACCCAAGGTGTTAATAAGAAAGACAAAAAAAAAAAAAAAATCATCCCTCTTTGACGGAAGGTTAAGAAGCCAGTAACAGAAGGAATTTAGTGAAGGAGCTCCCGCTAGGTGCCTCAAACTCTTCTGTAAACGGTGGGGAGAAGTGAAGAAAGTAGAAGTTTAAACTGGGCTCCACGGAAAATGGAGGAAAAATTAAACAAGAACCGAGACTGGTTCTACTAAAAACGCATTCTACATTTCAATCGGCCTTTCATACACTCCCCCCATTCCTGGATCAGAGAATTGCCCATATTTTAGCTTCAAATTTAAAAATCTAAATAAGCCTGGTTCACATTCTTTATTTCAACAACTGAAAACAATGAGACGCATTAAGTTACACTCTAATTCAAAGCTTAACTCCTCTCACAAGTAAATACAATAGTTTCAACTCAAGCAACAAAATAACGATAATTTCAAGTAAGAGTAACTGAAAAATGTTCCTAAACGTAGAAGTGTTTGCAAACAGTTTTTTTTTTCCTAATTCGTTTGCCAGAATACGATGTTCCTGGGTTCAAATCCCAGGTCCCCTAGACAAGTTAACCTCTTTGCATCTCGGTTTCTTCCTCTAAAATAATGAGGAATACAATAAACCAGAATCGTTAATAAGGATTAAATGACGCAACACAGGTGCCAAGTTCATAGTATGTACTCTGAACAGTTTGTTAACCGCTTAAAAGAGAAAACCTGCAGCAGTTCGACCAAATTAAAATATATGAGAGCATGAAAGTGTACCACGCTCAAACGCCGGACCCTAACACACAGCATATTATTATTCTTCCCTGACGCAAGCTCATTTTTTTTTTTCCTTGCCAAATCTTTCCACTAGGAGTCTGGAAAGAGAAAAGAGGGTCCAGGCAATCCAGCAGAAAGTTTTCCAAAACTGAAGTGCGGAATCACCAGGCCACGGAGCCGAGGCCGCGCAGGACAACAGGTGAAGCAGCTCCGGGAGCTCGGGGGCCCGGGCCCCTTCCCGCGGCTACTTGGGGGCGGGCTGGCTGCTCCTCTCGCTCGACCCTCGCCCGAAACTCACTTTGTTCTCCCTTGTTCCTCCCCACAGCGTCGGGAGCCAAATCACGAATATCAGCCTCGCCGCTCCGGGGCGGGGAGAGGAGCGCCTTTCCCATTTAAGGATTCCAGAAGCGTCCCAGGAGCGGCTTTCGCCCACTTCGCTTCCCCAAACTCGGCCTGCAACCCGCGGGTGGGAGACAAAAGAGGGGCCGGCGGGGGTACGCGGCGCGGGGTGCTGTGGGTCTCTGGCAGGGCGGTCACGGCCCAGCGCGCGCCGAGGCCTGCGGAGCTGGCGGGGCCGGGCCGGGCAGCCCCTGGCTCCGGCCTCTGCGCGCCCGGCTGCCTCCGCAGCTTCGCCGGAGCCCCGCCGGCCTCCCCGCGGCGGCCAACCCCTCCCGGCCCGCACGCGCACTCCCAACTCACCCGGACTCCAAGGAACTCATCCTCCAGCCCTCGGCGCGGAGCGGGTGGGCGCGGCGAGCCGCCGGGGCGAAGCGGGGCCCTGCTCGGCCTCCGCCCTCGGCGTGCAGCGGCCCCGACCCGGTCGCCCCTCGATTGGGCCGTGCGATCTTCGCCGCGCGCGGACTGACGCGCCGAACCCTAGCCTTCCTGCCCGCCCTTGGCCCTCCTCCCTCTTCGCTCCTGCCTCCTCCCTCCTCCTTCGCCAAGCCCGGCAGGCGGATTCCAATCTCTGCAGCCGCCGCCGCCACCGCCGACTCTCGCCAGGAGGGGAGGGGGCGGCGCGGGTGCGGGGTCCTGGGGGAGGGGCGGGCGTCGCGGGCCTTGCACGGCGCGCGCGCACTGGGAGGGCGCCCGCCCGCGCCGCGCGCACCCGACCCCGGGCGCCGGCCCCGCCCCACCCCGCCCCGCCCCGCCCCGCCCTGGACACGAAAGGAGCCGAGCGCACGGCGGAAGCGCCCGAAGGGGTCGCGGAGCCCGGCGTCCCGCTGCCGGAGAGTAGGGCCAGCCGCCGGCAAGGGGGCGCCGAGCTGCTGGTGGTGCGGGCGGGTGGAGTCTTCTCCTCCGAGCGGGCCCGCCGGCCCCTCACCACACGCCCGCAGACGCGGTAGGGCGCACGCGATGGAACGCGGCGGAGGGGAGTGCGGACGCGGCTGCGGCGCCCTGCGGCCATCGGCGCCCGGGATGCCCGCTCTTGTGGGCTCCTTCGCGTGGACCCCTCCTCCGGCCGACACTCACACTGCAGTGAACGCCAGTCAGCTGGCGTGAAATAAGCAGGTCGCTGGGAAGGCACCAAGTCACCAAGGTGGGGGATGGCCAGGTCGTGGTAGTTGCGACAAAGAAAAATGTAGTCACATTGCATTTGTTCCTCGCCCACCCACCGCTCCCGGCGTCTCTTCCCGGGCTCCTTGCCAGCGTGCCGAGGCGCAGGCAGGGTGATGGAGGCGCCCCGGCCGGGAAGATCTGCCGGGGAGAGCAGCTTTCCTCATCGATTCGGGAGCGCCAGGCCTGGCGCGCCGGGGCCCCTGTGATCTGCGAGCCCGCGAATTCCAGCGGCATAAGATAAGGAGCGGCGAGAGCCCAACAGGAGTGAGGTCAGCCAGCTATAAATACGCCTCCAGTTCCACCGCGGGCTCACGCTGGTGACCTCGTGTACCCTCCGGAGGCTCATTCTGTCCATTTGGAAAATGCAACTAATTGTCGCCACCTGTTTTCTTCCATTTCCCCTCATTCATGGTGGAAAATGCTTTTAAAAGTATTCGATGACCTGTATGTGAAGAAAGAGGAGATAGGCCCCTTTTTCACCAAATGTGTCCTTAACCTCCTTAGTAATCCAAGGAATGTATCGAGTTTAAGGCACTTAACAAAAGATGTTCTTTTGAAGATGTATTTTTAAAAATCAGTTTTAAAACTGGGTAAACTGAGTAAAAAGAAAGGGGGAAAGAAAACAATGTGCCAAGCACTTGTATTGACACACATTCTCGCCTGAAGAGATGTTTAGATTCCCTTATATTCTGGTGTAAATGTTTGAATTCCCTTGTATTTTTGTTTCAGTTTTTTGGTTTATCTTTTATTCTGTCTCCCTTTTCTTCTTACACCTGCCTTTGCCCTTAATGCTGCAGATAGCCTCCGTCATTCTGAATTATTTTTCAATTCTGTTTTCTTCTCCTATCTTTTTTTCTGGGCTCTTCAGCTGTCTCAGGTTTGACAGTCATGGGTTATAGTATCTTGCTATGCAGGAAAAATAGGATAAGTGAGATTACCTGCATCAACTAAAATTGGTCACTTTTCTTTCTCAAGTTTCCTTCATAATACCCAGCTTTAGTTTTTTTTTGGTTGTTTGTTTTGTTTTTTTGGACAGAGTCTCGCTCCGTCGCCCAGGCTGGAGTGCAGTGGTGCTGTCTCGGCTCACTCCAAGCTCCGCCTTCCAGGTTCACGCCATTCTCCTGCCTCAGCCTCCCAAGTAGCTGGGTCCACAGGCGCCCGCCCGCCATGCCGGACTAATTTTTTCGATAAAAATACTCTACTAAAAATGTAGAGACGGGGTTTCACCCTGTTAGCCAGGATGGTCTCTATCTCCTGACCTCGTGATCCTCCCACATTGGCCTCCCAAAGTGCTGTGATTACAGGCGTGAGCCACCGCGCCCAGCTCCGGCTTTAGTTTAAAGGAAAAGATGGGCCTTTTGCTTAAGGAGATTCAGATTGGTTGGTCAAAGCTCTCATTGATGTATGCTGAGCAATGTGTCGGCAGAGAAAACCATGGCAAGCGTGTTATTATGTTCTTTATAGCCTAGTTGGATTTTTAGACATATGAATTGGTCTATGAAATAGACAACAATCTCAGGTGGGAGCCTTAGTACATCAAGTTTCTGAAATGTACAAATGAGTGTTGCCTGGCTTGTGTTATCTGCCACTGTAGAAATGAGAGCAAAATTGAAGCATCAAATTTTAAGTCATGGTATCTTTGCTTCTCTGCAAAAGGCTCTCCTTTTCAAATCTTCTGGAATTTTTCACTCTCCTTTGATAAGGCCCAGCTAGTAGCCAGGCTTCAATCCTCAGCTTCAGTGCCCTAGTTACCAGCAGCTAGTGGGGCATGCTGTTCTCCCTGGCTACTGGCATGTTAATGCATGCCAGCCCGTTTCTCCAGTCTGCCTGCCCAGGGAGACATCTGGACACGTGTGGTCTGGCCCCTAAACTCAAAAACACCTCGGGATCCACAGTTAACATTCTGTAATGTGTTGGTATTCCTTTAAGTGGGTTACTAGAGTAGGCTGGAAATGGCCTCTTCCTCTGCCCAGGTAGGTCCCAAGAGAGGTAGTTGTTACATGCCCAAAGCAGCATTCATTAATTACATTGTGCATTTAGTTATTTGTTTGTGGTCTGACCCCTCTGCCCCACTAGAATATAAACTCCATGAGCAAAAGACTTTGTCAGTCTCTTTTTTTAGAGACAGGTTCTCACTTTGTCACCCAGGCTGGAGTGCAGTGGCGTAGTCATTGTTCACTGTAACCTGGAACTCCTGGGCTTACGTGATCCTCCCACCTCAGCCTCCCAAGTAGCTGGGACTACAGGCCAGCTTGACTTTGTCAATCTGTTCTCAACTCTCTCCTTAGAGACTAGTGCCTGGCAAGTGAATATTTGTTAAACAAAAGAAGAGAAATAAGCATACATGTCCTCTAAGCATTTCTGAACCTTGTCACCAAGACCCTTTTAGTGTTAGAGGGTGGCATGGCTATCTTGGAAAGAGTGAAGGTTGGCTGGGAAAGCTGTGGATTACATCCTCTTCAGTGAAATGGGACTTCTGCCTTCAGGGATCCAAGTTGAATAGATTAATCCAAGCTAACCATTCAAAGTCATTTTCATATTGTAAAGATTTTATAAGGCAAAAGGCAGCACGAAGTCTCTGGGTCTGATGATAAGTTACAGCCCAGTAAGGAGGGACAAGTGAAGGAATGCCATTGGTAGGGTGACCCTTTAGGTTGACTTCAAACCCGATATTAAATGGGTGGGGGTTAGGGAGAATAAACAGCTTCATTTTTCAGCAGCTTCATTTTTCAGCATTGACACTGCTACATCATTTTTTTTGGTTAATAGCACCCCATCATGGCTTAGAAGGACTAAACTGAAACAGAAACTGTGGTTAAGAATAAGATGGATGTATATAATTCAGTGCACAAAATAGAGGAAGTTTAAAAACCTGAATTCATTTTCATTGTGGTGGTACAGTGTTTTACTTATTCTTTTGTTTACTTCTAAACAACTAGCTCCTCCCTTAGCTCCATTTTAATTTATCTTTGCCTCAAAGCACTGGCTACTATGATTGAAAGACAGACGATGGAGGATATTGCTGCCCTCACTTGGTCCTACCTAGTCCGTGGCCTCTGTATTTCTCCTTCAGGTACTATCCGTACACCCTTTACCATACAACCTGATCTTTCCTAGGCTTTGAGGCAGGAAGAATTATCAGAGCTTCGGTCCCAAGCTCAAGACTCAGCCTCCCACTGCCTGACCCCTTTCTAAGAACTGACAGCCCTTCTCTTGTGTCTGAAACCCTGACCTGTTAGCTTGCCAGGACCTCAAATTTATCTGCTTGTTGTTTGGACTCAGCTGCATCCCTGCGCCCAGACTGCTGGGCAGTTGTAGGTATTCTTGGTGGCATCACTTAATTGCCTCCAGCTCTTTGTTTCTAGACTCCCTGTGTCTGTATTCTACCTATCTGTTGGGGCTCCCTTCCCCCATTACCTCAGGCTGGATGTCTCGATCCCCACTGCGCTCCTGAACTACCACCTGTTGTTTGCTCACTACTCTCTGGCTATCAGGCACTGCCTAGAGGACTAAGGGTCCTCCCACCGAGCACTGGGAGCTGAGGCCTCCCTACCCCAACTCCCACGCAGCCCACAATAGATCTTGGCCTTCCCTGTCCTGCTGCAGCTCACCGCCCTGCCTTTCCCTATCCTCATAGCACCTGGTTTATTGCACTTGGATTATTTTTTAACCAGATAAAAACTATATATATAATATATGCTCTGGACATACCCTAAGTACGTATTAAAGCTGTATTATATGTAATTTTGGCTGGGCGCAGTGGCTTATGCTGGTAATCCCAGCACTTTGGGAGGCCAAGGTGGGTGGATCATTTGAGGTCACGAGTTCGAGACCAGCCTGGCCAACATGGTGAAACCCCCTGTCTACTAAAAATACAAAAATTAGCTGGGTGTGGCAGCAGGCACCTGTAGTCCCAGCTACTTGTGAGGCTGAGGCAGGAGAATCACTTGTTGCAGTGAGCCCAGATCTTGCCATTGCACTCCATCCTGGGCAATAGAGCAAGACTCTATGTCTCAAAAAAAAAAAAAAAGAAAATCTATATATAGTTTTTTTCTGGTTAAAAATCCAAGTGTAATGGGGTGTGTGTGTGTATATAATCTATTGAATATAATTCAAATAGATTTCTAGTATTCTGAAATTGTGTGTGTGTAGGTGTTTGCACATATATATGTATTATATATGTACATACATATGTGTGTGTATATATGTACACAGACACCCCATACATACATTCAAAAATGAAAAACCCATGTCTGATTCTTCTTCCTATCCCTAAACACTGATTCTACTCAAGAATTCCTCTGGAGCCAGTAGTCCAGAAATCGCAGCGTGTGGAGCTGTATATGATTACCTTGGGAATGACTAGTAAAAGGAAGGGAAGGTGCAATGATAAAAAATTAAAGCTGAGATAAATGGGGAGATAAAACCTACATCAGGAGTGCAGATTCATTAACACCATACTGTGCCTACTGTCCATGGCTTACATGGTTATTGGGATGTATTCCTAGATGTGGTGTATCACCAGTGTGACCGGGCATACTAGTTTACCCATCGGATATGTTGGAGGTACCTGACCCTGTGCTTGACTCAGAAATTCAGAGAACAGGAACTGTCTCATTCTCACTCCATTGTATCCAGCGTGCTGCTTGGCACACCAGTAAGTAGTCAGTAAGTATTTATTAAATAAATGAGATACTTAATTTTGTTCTCTGTTGGTAGTTTGCCCTGGCGCATTTCTTTTTATTTCTATTAACCAAGGCAGGGTTAGGTGTTTTGTTTTGGTTTGGTTTTCCATATTTTTGAGGATTAATGATAAAGCACTTATCTTGTTGGAATGAGAGTCTACTAACAAATCCTGTACATCATAACAGGACTATCGTCTAACAACTTTTTCTCAATAAGTAAACTTTAAAACAACTTCCTTTATTTTTTCAAAGGGATACATAGTCATATATGTAACCAGTAACCAATACTTGTCAGTGTTTTTTTAAAATGTAGATTATTTTCCATTTAGTTTGCTACCTACCTTAAAGCCCCTCTTCCTCCGATCCTGAATGCTGCTAGCTCTCCTTCTAATTGGTCATTCCCTCTTTCAATTAATGTTGCCCAATTGTTTAGATTTCTATTGTGAAACACCGGTCCCATTAAATCTGAAAACACTGCTATAGAGCAACATTTCATTAGACTGGTCTCACTACTTTCTGAAGAATGGACCATATTCATTCTCCATTTAATGCCCTTCTCCTCCCTATACTGCCTGAGAAGTACCTCTTCCAAGAAGTCATCTTTGACTACTCCATCCTCAATGCCTTAGGATTTTCTCTCAATGGTCTACATCACTGACTTTCCACATAGCTTAGCTGTTCCTATGTCTTTCTCCCAAATAAGTTTTCATACCTTTGTTCTTCAACATAAATAGGGGCCTCTCAGCCTGAGGGAGACAGGTTAGCGAATACCAAAATACACGTGATATCAAAGAAGCAGTCCCAGGCCACTGGAGCTTACCAGTTGTTGAATCCTTGCTTCTGCGAATCCATTGTTTTCAAAGTTGACAGGTAGTTGCAAACTCCTTGATGCATCTGCTGTGCTGTTGCATCCTCCCTGCTGTCTATCTCCCCTACATAGGTACCACTGTCGCCATGGTCACGGTACTGAGCACCAGGGTTGCTAGGTTGCGCAACTTTAAGGGGGTGCCATTCACAACCTGCCTGATATGAATGGTGCTCCATGGAATTATGCATTGCAACATCTGCACATGATTCTACCAAACACCAGAAAGTTCTACTCCAATGGTGGGGGTGGGGGGCTAATCCCTGGCTTGCTTAAAGAACCCACTTTTTTGTTGTGTAACATTATATACTTTTCAGGACATTTGACAAGATATGTTTAAGCATTTGTTAACTTTGTATTATAAAATATGTGTGTTTATAAAAAAAAAAGATTATCCCAAAATAAAGAGAAAATGTTGGCAGTACTCTGTGGTGGCCTAATGGATGGTTATTATTTTCTTCCATAAGCTTTATCTCCCCCACAATGGCAATGTTACTGTTTTTTTGTTTGTTTTTTTTGTTTGAGACGGAATCTTGCTCTGTCGCCCAGGCTGGAGTGCAGTGGTGCAATCTTGGCTCACTGAAACCTTTGCCTCCCAGGTTCAAGTGATTTTTCTGCCTCAGCCTGCCAAGTAGCTGGGACTACAGGTATGCGCCAGTACGCCCAGCTAATTTTTGTATTTTTAGTCGAGTTGGGGTTTCACCATGTTGGCCAGGCTGATCTCAAACTCCTGACTTGTGATCCACCCGCCTCGGCCTCTCAAAGTGCCCCTGGGATTACTGGCGTGAACCACGGTACCTGGCCCAATGTTACTTTTATAATCAGAAAAGTAGATATTTTTGACCCTGGGTTTCAGCACCAAAAAAAAAAAGATTAGGTATTATTTAAAAGAACTAGTTGATTGATAAAATATAGAGAAAAATGAAAGTGACAAGTTGCATATTTGTCAGAATGAAGTCAGAATCCCATATAAGATATGTAAGTAAAGTTTTTATTTATTTGATTGATGTGAAATTTTTTTTACTGAAAAGAGTTATTCTAGGCCAGGCGCAGTGGCTCACACCTGTAATCCTAGCACTTTGGGAGGCTGAGGCAGGCGGATCACTTGAGTCCAGGAGTTCCAGACCATGTTCCAGACCAGCCAGGGCAACATGGCAAAACACCATCTCTATAAAATTTACAAAAATTAGCCAGACATGGTAGCACTTGCCTGTTATCCCAGCTACTCAGGAGGCTGAGGCAGGAGGATCCCTTGAGCCCAGAAGGCAGAGGTTGCAGTGAGTTGTGATCACGCAACTGCACTCAAGCCTGGGCAACAGAGGGAGACCATGTCTCAGAAAAAATAAAGAGTTGTTCTATTGTTATACTTGCAATAACACATCATACTCAACAGATTTTAACTATGTATACCATATGTCATCAAAACTAGGATACTGTTTCATTTTGGGTTTTTTTCCACCCAAAGAACAGCATGGATACTGTTGATTATAAGATCCATCATTATTTTATGTACAACTAAGGAAGAAAAACCTTGCCAGTTAAACTCTGACACATTACGATGTCGCAATTCCAGAGAATTTCAAATGTCAAAAAAAGTGTGCATCTGAGAATTAATGAAATATGGCGTATTTTAATGCATCTAGAAGGCGAAGCAATGCCATACAGGCCAGCGTTTGAAATGTTAAATTTCTGAGTTTTTGATGTATAATCTTGTTATGCCTGATTCCTGAATAGCCACACTGTGGATGATACCACAAAAGCAGAGGCAGTGCAGTTCAACTGCATGTAAACATGTAAAGCAAACAAAAGTGAATAACTTATGATTCAGTCACATAACGTTTGGAAAAAACACTAACGTCAAGTCACGTGCTGGATTATATTACAAATCAAAAATTTACTTTTTTTTTTTTTTTCAGATGGGAGTTTCACTCTTGTTGCCCAGGCTGGAGTGCAATAGCACAATAAAAATTAACTTTTTGACAGCTGTGTATACTGAAAATGTGTGATGACAAGACAAACCAAATTTTAGAAGTTAACACGTAAGTTATTATCTTTGGAGAAGTCAAACTAAGCATTCAGAAAAATCTCAGCAGTGTGGTAGAATGACTTTACATCTGTCCCGGAAACTGAACAATAGTGCTTGTTGCTTATGAGGCCATCAGGAAAAGCCAGCTGTGGATTTCTTTCTAGTACAATTAATTGCTTCCGCTGTATATAAAATTGAAAGAATTGGGTGCTTTAGTGCGGAAAAAGGATATCCTGCTACACTGCTCCTATTTCCTCACAAAGGCTATTAGTGAGCCTTTCACCATTAATTCACATGCATTGGATTATCCTGTGATGAAAGGCCAAAAGACTTTTCATTTTTATAGTCTCTTATCTCCTATTTATTTGGCACCTCTCTGGAGATACCTGCTCTTCTCCCAAGACCAGCTAATTGCTAGGATGTCAGAAGGTGGCTAATGACTGACTTCCTTTTCAGACACTGTGAACCCATCTCTGTGCTGCTTCTTGGGGTGGCTTTTCTTATTACTGAGAAATATTCTGGGTTCTGTCATTATTTGAGGTAAAAAATGCTATCTTTTTTTTTTTTTTTAAGACAGAGTCTTGCTCTCACCCAGGCTGGAGTGCAGTGGTGTGATCACAGCTCACTGCAGCCTCAACCTCCTGGGCTCGAGCAATCCTCCCACCTCAGTCTCCCAGGTAGCTGGAACTACAGGTGCATACTGCCACATTCAGCTGATTTTTTGTATTTTTATAGAAGCGGGGCCTCCCTGTATTGCCCAGTCTGATCTCGAACTCCTGGGTTTAAGTGATCCTCCCACCTCAGCCTCCCAAAATGCTGGGATTACAGGCGTGAGCCACTATGCCTGGCCTCAAGACTGTTCTTAAGGCCTGAGCTGAGCAGGTCAGAATCGACACCAGCACTGTCTAATAGAACTTTCAGTGAAAATGAAAATGTCCTGTATCTTCCCTGTTCCAACATGGTAGCCCCTAATCTCATGTGGTTATTGAGCATTTGATATGGCTAGACAGAGAAACTGAATTTTTATTTTTATTTAACTAATTTAGAATTTATACAGTCACACATACCGAGCAGCTATTGTATGTACTGGCCAGTGCAGGTCTACATGAAGGATATATAAAAGAATCACTTGATGGTCTCAGTGCATACAATGGGCAGGGATTGAGGGTTGGCATTGAAAATGCAGCATCTCAGCTGGGTGCAGTGGCTCACGCCTGTAATCCCAACACTTTGGGAGGCCAAGGTGGACAGATCAATTGAGGTCAGGAGTTCGAGACCAACCTGGCCTACACGGTGAAACCCTGTCTCTACTAAAAATATAAAAATTGGCTGGGCATGGCAACGCATTCCTGTAATCCCAGCTACTTGAGAGGCTGAGGCAGGAGAATCTCTTGAACCCAGGAGGCGGAGGTTGCAGTGAGCCGAGATTGCACCACTGCACTCCAGCCTGGGCAACAGAACGAGACTGTCTCAAAAAAAAGGAACAAAGAAAATGAAACATCTAAACAACCAAAAGAGTAGAATTGGATTTTTTGTAACACAAAGGATAAATGCTTGCGGGGATGGATATCCCAGCTTCCATGATGTGATTATTATATATATATTATAATTTTTTGTGGTTTTTTTGTGATATATATAATATATATATATGTACCCACAAAAATTAAAACAAATAAATGCCACCTTAAAAAAGAAAGAAAATGGGCTGGGCATGGTAGCTCACACCTGTAATCCCAGCATTTTGGGAAGCTAAGGCAGGCGGATTGCTTGAGCCCAGGAGTTTGAGACCAGCCTGGGCAACATAGGGAGACCCCTTCTCTACAAAAAATACCAAAAATTAGCTGGGCATGTTGGCACACACCTGTATCCCAGCTACTTAGGAGGCCGAGGTGGGAGGATTGCTGGAGCCAGAGAGGTCGAGGCTGCAGTGAGTCACGTTGGCACCACTGCACTCCAGTCTGGATGACGGAGTGAGAAAAAAAAAAAAAAAAAGAAAGAACAGGTTCTGAAACCATTGGCTGAATTGAGGGCTCTGGTAGAAAGACCACACATTCAGGGATCTTTTCTGTAGTTTGCTACTAGAAAAGTTTCTCTAAACATGCAGAGTACCAGAAATGGGGGTTACTATTCAATGGATATAAAGTTTGCGTTTATATTAAGTGTTCTTACTACCGATTTTTTTGTTTGTTTTTTTGAGATGGAGACTCACTCCGTCACCCAGGCTGGAGTGCAGTGTCACGATCTTGGCTCACTGCAACCTCCGTCTCCCGGGTTCTGCGATTCTCCTGCCTCAGCCTCCCAAGTAGCAAGGATTACAGGCACACACCACCACACCCAGCTAATTTTGTATTTTTAGTAGAGATGGGGTTTCGCCATGTTGGCCAGGCCGGTCTCAAACTCGTGATCGCAGGTGATCCACCTGTCTCAACCTCCCAAAGTGCTGAGATTACAGACGTGAGCCACCGCATCTGGCCGATTCTTTAAAAAAAAAAAAACGAATTTTTTGTCTGGGCGCGGCGGCTCACGCCTGTAATCCCAGCACTTTGGGAGGCCGAGGCAGGTGGATCACAAGGTCAGGAGATTGAAACCATTCTGGCCAACATGGCGCAACCCCCTCCCTACTAAAAATGCAAAAATTAGCTGGGTGTGGTGGCATGCACCTGTGGTCCCAGCTACTTGGGAGACTGAGGCAGGAGAATTGCTTGAACCCAGGAGGCGGAGGTTGCAGTGAGCCAAGACAGCACCACTGCACTCCAGCCTGGGTGACAGAGTGAGACTCCCTCTCAAAAAGAAAAAAAAAAGCACAATTTTTTAGTGATAGAAACTAGCCAAAATGCTAAGTAGCGGTTGTCTCCCGGTAGTAGGACTATGGTCACTTTTTTTTTTCTTTCTGCCTATGTGTGTTTTTCAGATTTTATTTAATAAGCACATATTCCTTTCTTGATTAGACAACATTAAAGAGAGCTAAACCCATTCATTTCTTTATTACCCCAATTTCAAATTGAAGTGGTTTCAACCAACTCTTTCTCTAAGAGAGAGAGTAGTCATTTTGAAATACTGTTTCTTCAAAAATTACTTCAGGCAGCACTTTTTAGTTGAGAGATCTGTATTCCCTAAACTAGCGTGAATAGCATCAGAGACCTGTGTTTGGGGTACCCTAGAACCCTACTAAGAAGAATCAGAGAACATCCTTCTGGAAGACATGGCTCCAGACCTGGAGCAATCCTCTCACTTAGGCATTCCCTGGGCATTGTGCCAGGATCCACACATTTCTAGACTACAGTCCGGAATCTCAGAGTCAAGGCCCAACAGGTTAAGGAGGCTCGTGGACTGACAAGGGCTCTGGTTTTACCACTGAGAAGAGAACCATAAAAAGAAGTCCTCATTTCCTAAAAGTTCAGACATGATCGTACA